GATGAGAGCAGTCTCAGTACTATGATATGGTCTAAATCCTGACTGGAAATCCTCACAGATACCATTTTCCTCTAAGAAGGAATATAATTGTGAGGATACTACCTTTTCTAGTATCTTGGACAGAAAAGGGAGATTCGAGATCGGTCTGTAATTAACTAGTTCTTTGCGGTCCAAGTTGTGGTTTTTTGATGAGAGGCTTAATAACAGCCAGTTTGAAGGTTTTGGGGACATATCCTAATGACAATGATGAATTAATAATAGTCAGAAGAGGATCTATGACTTCTGGAAGCACCTCTTTTAGGATCTCCTTTTAGGAGTGTGTGTGTGTGTGTTTGTGTGTGTGTGTGTGTGTGTGTGTTTTTGTGTGTGTGTGTGTGTTTGTGTGTGTGTGTGTGTGTGTGTGTTTTTGTGTGTGTGTGTGTGTTTGTGTGTGTGTGTGTGTGTGTGTGTTTTTGTGTGTGTGTGTGTGTTTGTGTGTTTTTGTGTGTGTGAATCTGTATCTGATCATGTCTGGTGTTTCAGGGAGGACATGCACCTGCAGATTCTCAAAGCGTTCGTGGAGCTGCACGAGTTTTCAGATCTTAACCTGGTTCAGGCGTTACGGTGAGAACACGAGCTCTTCTTCATCCACAGACGAGCAGCTGAACTCGTCTCATTTCTATTCGTCTCGTTCTTTCGCAGGCAGTTCTTGTGGAGTTTCCGTCTGCCGGGTGAAGCTCAGAAGATCGACCGCATGATGGAGGCCTTTGCCACACGCTACTGTAACTGCAATGCCAACGTCTTCCAGTCCACAGGTCAAACTCACTCACGCCTTAATATCTAATGACTGATAAACAGGTAATACATAAAAAAAATATTTAGGTCTACAGTTAAGATTTATGTGTTGGAATTGCATATACAATTTCCATGTATCTACACAGTTTGAACAGAAATAAATAAATTTAAAATAATGCATATCTGTCAATCACACATTAACAGATTTCCCATACAGCAAAAAATGTATTTTCAAATATATATAAAAATATACAAAAAATGGCCAATATATATACATATATATATATATATATACTAAAATATGCTTCAAAATATATTTGCGTAAATAGTTTTTTTTGCATATTTTAAAAAATATATTTTTTAAAATATGAATATATAAAAAAAACATTCACATTTGTCACATTTGAAGAAAAACTTTATTTGTTGTCTGTAACACGTATGAATATAACACAATTATAATATATTGAGATTCACTGCTTACAACATATATTTGGCGTGTATTTAAAATAGATTTTGGTCACAAAATTATATTTTGCCATATGGGTTATTCTGCTTCTAAGTGATTTAAATAAATGCAGTGAATATATAATTATGTAAATAAAAGCTAATGAATGCAAATATTTAATAAAATTACAAATAGACTGACAAATACAGTATGCATCACATTAAGTTGATTAGTTTATGTTAATACTGTGCAATTCAAATGGACATATTTATATATTTCAAATTTAGACCTGAATATTTTTTTGAATGAATGACAAATAATTTGACATTAAATTAACTCATAATAATAATTTTGAGTTTATTATGTATTGGCAAATCAATTAATTAATCAAGCAGATACTGATAATCTCATAATAGTCAAATATCATTGAGTTGGCTGATCAGTCTGAGCTGAAGTTGTTGAAAGCGTTTGTGTTGTGTGTGATTGTGATCGTTAGACACGTGTTATATCCTGTCGTTTGCCATCATCATGCTGAACACGAGTCTGCACAATCCCAACGTGAAGGACAAGACCTCACTCGAGAGATTCATCAGCATGAACCGCGGCATTAACAATGGACAAGATCTGCCCGACGACCTTCTGACGGTGAGCAGCCAATCACAATCCGCCCTCGCTGGTCACATGATGCAGGCTTGAGCCGGATGCTCGTTTGCCCTCCTTTTACAATCACAATATTATACTTTATACATTGGATTATAATAAATAAATAAATGCTAATGTTATGTTCAAGTTTGTTTTAAGTCATGCACCTTTTAGACACAGCATTGGTTGGACTGTTTTGCTGCATTTCTCCAACCATTGCATCTCTGATCAACACAGTAATGTTTTATTCCTGAATGATTCAGTGTTTTTAAACAAATTTCAAAGTGAGTCAATGATTTAATAAGCCATACATGAAGGCAGTTGCTGAAGTCGATGGCCTAAATAGTAACACTTGTACACGGTTCTGAAATCAGCAAGTCACTCTATTCCTGAACGAATCAGCCGTTTTAAATGAATCAGTCGAATGAGTGTAGTAAGGATTTGTCGCAACCTACTATTGGGTTTAGTTTCATATTTAAGCTATCATCTCAGAGTTCTATTTTAAGTATATTTTATGTTTAACACATTAATCTTCTAACATTATTTTTGCAATTGTAAATGCAGTGTAAATGCATTCATTGCATGTCTGAGCTGCATTAAGCACTCTACGTAAATGCATCTAAATCCTGCTTTAAATGCAGTTTCTTTGCCACTTCTGCAGTGCAAAGATGGATTTTGTTGATATTCATTTTATTTGATTGGTATCAGCCCTGTAGTGTCTTACTATTCAGATTGCATTTATTGAATAAATATATGAATCTCCATGAAAGATGATGCATACATTTAATAACACTGAGTCGATGTCTTGTGAGAATGAGCACAAATGACACCCTGGTGTTAATTATTCGTCAGTTGTCAGTGGCGGTGTATATTTACATAAATAAGCAGAACTAACAGAAAGGTCGTGGTTTTGATGTGTTTTGGTGAAAATGTGTGTTGTTTTTTTTTTGCATCAACAGAATCTGTACAACAGCATACGCAACGAACCCTTCAAAATCCCAGAGGATGATGGGAACGATCTGACGCACACCTTCTTCAACCCGGACCGAGAGGGCTGGCTGCTCAAACTGGGTAAAACCAGCTCAGAAGAGATCAGATGCATTAGATATTATAAAGACTAAACTCACAGAATTCACTGCTGACTGCAGAAAACAAACTGATTTTGATCTTCACTGCTGATAACATCAACAGTCAAGTCTATAAAATCAAGAACTGATTTTTTTTTACATTTACATTTAGTAATTTAGCAGACACTTTTATCCTAAGCGACTTACAAATGAGGACAACGGAAGCAATCAAAATCAACAAAAGAGCAATAATATGCAAGTGCTATAACAAGTCTCAGTTAGCTTAACACAGTACACATAGAAAGGTTTTTTTTAATTATATAATAAATAAAAAGAAAAAGAATGGAATAGAAAAAGAATAGAGCAACCTAGTGTTCGAGGCCTTTTTTTTGCTCTTGTTAATTGTATAATAACAAATAGATAGAATACAAAAATATTAGAGAAGCTAGTATTAGTTCTTTTTTGTCTGGTGTTTCAAGGAGGACATGCATCTGCAGATCCTCAAAGCATTCTAAAAGGGACAAGTTTTTTTTTTTTTTAAAGAATAGAATTAGAATAGAGTGTGCTAGAGTTAGAGGGTCAAATAAAGATGGAAGAGATGTGTTTTTAGCCGATTCTTCAAGGAGTTGGGCAGGTTGTTCCACTTCCATATTTATAGTAAACCTGTTAAATTGAATGCTGTCACACTAATTGACATGCTCAGACTGTAAGAATACAATCATCTGACAGTGATATATATATATTATCTGTCGGCAGGCGGCCGTGTGAAGACGTGGAAGAGACGCTGGTTCATCCTGACTGATAACTGCCTGTATTATTTTGAATTTACCACGGTAAGAACAGCAGCGGTCTCTCTGAATGCATGCATGTGTGTAGATCAGGAGTGATTGTGTGTTTGTGTTCAGGACAAAGAGCCGCGTGGCATCATTCCTCTGGAGAATCTGTGTGTGAGGGAAGTCATGTTTCCACGCAAACCGGTGAGAACTTCACACAGACCGGCTTACAGCCTCGTGAACGGCAATGAGAAAGCTGTTTGGACAGGTGGACAGAAACATTACACTGCAGTTTGGCCGGCTGCTAAAGGAGAAGGATTATCACAGAATGAATATATTCAATAAGGCACCTAAAACTAGAGAAGAAATATTAGTAACACTTTACAATATGTGACCCTGGAGCACAAAACCAGTCACAAGGGTCAGTTTTTTTTTTAAATTGAAGTTTATACATCATCTGAAAACTGAGTAAATATGCTTTCCATTGATGTATGGTTTGTTAGGATCGGACAATATTTGGCCGAGATACAACTATTTGAAAATCTGGAATCTGAGGGTGCAAAAAAATCTAAATATTGAGAAAATCATCTTTAAAGTTGTTCAAATGAAGTTCTTAGCAATGCATATTACTAATCAAAAATTAAGTTTTAATATATTTACGGTAGGAAATTTACAAAATATCTTCATGGAACATGATCTTTACTTAATATCCTAATGATTTTTGGCATAAAAGAAAAATGGATAATTTTGACCCACACAATGTATTGTTGGCTATTGCTACAAATATACCTGTGCTGCTTATGACTGCTTTTGTGCTCCAGGGTCACATATGTTCACCTTAGTTAATGTTAGTTATGCATTACAGTGACTTATATTTGCATTGCATCTACAGAATTTGTTAATCTTTGTTAACTTTAGAAATATCACTGTTGGTTGTTAGTTCATGTCAGATCGTGTCCATTAAATAATATTAACATATGCAGCTTCTGATTTTAATAAATGTTGAGATTCTCATGAGATTATGAGGAAATGTTGATTAAGAAACTAAGATTAATAAATGCTCATTCATTTTTAGCAAATGGAAACTTATTGAAAAGTGTTGGCAAAAATTGGATTATAAATAGAGTGATTTAACAGACTATTATTAAATAAACTGTAAATTAAATAAATAAACATTTAATAAATTAATTAAATACATTATGGAATGTTGCAATGAATAAAAGTAGAGTGAAATTTAAGCATAAGCCGTGTATTTTTCATGCAACATGAAATACAACCTGAAATATGTCTAAAAAGGAAAAAAAAAAAAAGCCCGAATGAAATATGAAATGAAATACAATGAAGAAATCACTGAATACATGTTGCAATAAATAAATATAAACCTCATAAAAAGAGAGTACAAATAAATAAACTGAGTGTGGAATATATTTATGTAACATGAAAAAAGTGACCCGAAATACAACAAGATATAATAAACTGTAATCTATCACAGTATCAGTACTAAAAAAAAATCCTGATAAAATAGTTAAAATTAAAAGTAATTAAAAGTTGACTATTTGAGCTAGTAGTGTGTGTTTTAGTTTAGACTGTATTGGAGAGTGATGCGGCTCATGAGGGTTTGAACAGAGCCTGTGTTTCTTTGATTTGGTCAGTGAGTGGTTTTATTAGTGAAGGTTAACCTGTGACCTTTGACCTGTGTGTAGTATTGTTTGGAGCTGTATAACCCCAACAGCCGGGGTCAGAAGATCAAGGCGTGTAAGACAGAGACGGATGGACGTGTGGTGGAAGGGAAGCATCAGTCGTACACCATCTGCGCCGCTTCAGCCGAGGAAAGAGACGACTGGATCGAATCCATCAGGTATGAACACACGCAACTCACCGGCGCCATCGAACATTCGTGACTCGTCTGAACACACACAATTCATCTGAACAAATATGACTCGTTTGAACACACGCGACTCGTCTGAACACATGTGACTCGTTTGAACACACGTGACTCGTCTAAACACATGACTCGTTTGAACACACGTGACTCGTCTGAACACATGTGCCATGTTTGAACACATGTGACTCATCTGAACACATGACTCGTTTGAACACACGTGACATCTGAACACATATGACTCGTTTGAACACACGTGACTCGTCTGAACACATGTGACATGTTTGAACACACGTGACTCGTCTTAACACATGTGACATGTTTGAACACACGTGATTCGTCTTAACACATATGACTCGTTTGAACACATGAACACATGTGACTCATCTGAACACATGACTCGTTTGAACACACGTCACTCGTCTGAACACATATGACTTGTTTGAACACACGTGACTCGTCTTAACATGTGACATGTTTGAACACACGTGACTCGTCTTAACACATGACTCGTTTGAACACATGAACACATGTGACTCATCTGAACACATGACTCGTTTGAACACACGTCACTCGTCTGAACACATATGACTTGTTTGAACACACGTGACTCGTCTTAATACATGTGACTCGTTTGAACACACGTGACTCATCTGAACACATGACTTGATTGAACACACGTGACACGTCTGGACACATGTGACACGTTTGAACACACGTGAGTCGTCTGAACACATATGACTAATTTGAACACACGTGACTCATCTGATCACATATGGCTCATTTGAACACACGTGACTCATGAACACCTGTGACACGTTTGAACACACGTGACTCGTCTTAACACATATGACTCGTTAGAACACACATGACTCATCTGAACACATGATTTGTTTGAACACACGTGACTCGTCTTAATACATGTGACTCGTTTGAACACACGTGACTCATCCGAACACATGACTTGATTGAACACACGTGACACGTCTGAACACATGTGACACGTTTGAACACACGTGAGTCGTCTGAACACATATGACTAATTTGAACACACGTGACTCATCTGATCACATATGGCTCATTTGAACACACGTGACTCATGAACACCTGTGACACGTTTGAACACACGTGACTCGTCTTAACACATATGACTCGTTAGAACACACATGACTCATCTGAACACATGATTTGTTTGAACACACTTGACTCATCTGAAAACATATGACTCGTTTGAACACACTTGACTCATCTGAACACATAAGACTCGTCTGAACACACGTGTGTCGTGTCTCCACAGGGCCAGCATCACTAAAGACCCCTTCTATGATCTAGTGTCCACCCGCAAAAAGAAAGTCATCAACAAAGTGGCAGAGAAATGACGAAACGACTGAACTACAACCACAAACGGACAGAACTATAAGAGAGCACTGCTTATATTTATTAAAGCTCAGGAGATCAGCTCTGTCTCAGACGTTTCTCCTGAAAGTCCTTAGACATACAGATTCAAATGAGTCTATAGTTGTGAGTATAAACCAATGAAATGAATGTGAAGCAGCTCTGATCATTTGAAGAGAATGTTGAGTTCATATTGAGATCATTTGAGACATTGCCGAGATCTTTTCTGAAAGAATCTTTTCACTGCCTGTTGATTTTAACGTCGTTTCTCAGAGGTTTCTCTCTCTAGCTCAGGAAATGTAAGAAGTATCAACTTGGTCTCAGATGTTGCTCCTGAAATTCATCAGGAAAAGTAGAAATAGGGCCAAATGAGTCACTAGTTCTCATCCAGCAAGACATTATTTGATGAGACATTATTGGGATGTGTTCTGAAACTCTAGAAAGACACGTGTGAGATTACTGGTGTCTGAAACACATTCAGGACAAACACAGTGACTTTGATTTCTTTGTAGCAAATGTTTTTTTTTTATGTAACATACTTTTGTAAATAATATAGATCATACAGTGTTCAAGATTATATGTGATGAATCGTACAATAGATTATTTAATTAAAGTTATTTGAGACTAAATGTCCTGTGATGATTGTTGTTAATGAACTGTCTCTACAGTTTGAGCAGAAACACACATTAGTGCCATCAGAGACTCGCTACAAAACTTAACTTTTGTTGGTTTTGTTAAAAGAAGACACTCAGCGTCATTCTCACTCTCGACACACACACACTCGCACACGCACACACACACACTCACACACACACTCACACTCACACTCACAC